CCCGTCCCCTCCAGTAACGACCAACTGTCTCGTGGAGCCAGTATGGACGAGGTAGTGGGTAATAGACAGGTAGTCACCTTGTCAACGTGCACATCAAGCGCAGCCACATCGGGTACATCAAGAAACAGCCAAGCACTTTTAAATAACATTACCAAAAAAGTAAATCTCTTAAAGCATACGACTATGCACAGATAGCACTTCGCTAAATTAGCATATATGTTAAGTTGGTTACCAAAGAAGCATCGAAAATGTCCACAAGTTAATCAAAAAACGCTAAACACAACAAATTTAACGTTGATAAGCGCAATTAGCGTGAGCAAAGTGTGAAAGTTAATAGAACATTATTCAGCTAGGCAGAAGGAATCAATTAAAGTATAATAAATTTATTCAGCATAAAAATAACTAGTTGAAGTGTAAGTTGGCGTAGCCCAACTGCAATGAATTAGCATCATGAATGCAACATCAGCCTCATCATGGGGCACAAGTACAAGGCGCTTCTAACATGCAGTAGGTGATAGGAATTGTTATGCCCTGTCCCATCATGCCCGCCGGTTGACGAAATATCGGTTTGCAAGCGATCCATTCCTGCAAAAATGGCGGTCAAGGAATGGCGATGTGCGATGAGCAATTTCAATTTTCTCGCAAACCAGCTATTCTTTTCCGCTTTTCAAAATGTTTCATGCACTTAATACCAACAACTTTCGGCTATCTGCTTGATTTTGCTAGTACTATGTACAAATTAGTGAACATTGAGTAGCTGCCGTTAACAACATGTGACTGAGTGCGTACTTCCGACTGAAACTCGAGCTAGAGTGATGTGTTGCGCACTCTCGGTTGTTTCAACCACCTTAAGCTTCAGCTGCTCCCTAGTTTACTCTCTTTAGTCAGACAGCGTTTCACCATATCCAGTGCGTCGCATTTTGGCATCTTGGTGAGGAGTGCGCTGACGTTAACATAGATCATCGTTTCATCTTCGTTGCATACGAAACGCATGACGGTTTTTTGCAAACGTATTCGTTCACCCTGTCAACGGCTACAATATACTAACAACTGCATGCAGACTCATCATCATCATCATCACCATTAACAGCAGTACATCAGCCATTTGAACTGATGCTTCGCTGCCATACAACCATAAGGACCTATGAAATAAAGAATAAGAAGAGGGAGAGAAGGAGGACTTACCTGAAAACCTTATTGCCTTAAGCAAACATTCAGGGTCAAGGCGCCTACACCTTGTGTCTACAACATACCGTCACAAACAGCTGGCTATCATGCAAAGATAATGCATGCAGACTAGCACATGCAAGATGTTGCTAACCCGGTGACCTTATCACAATTAACGCGGTACCCATCCGCAAAGGTCACTGCAGGACCTCATGCATTGCTGTGCAGATAATGATGCTAAACTCCCCATTAAGGCAGATCAACTGTAGTTAACAGGTAATTCGACCACACCCACCGATACCTAATGCATTGTTCCATGATAGCGCGTAGTGAAACACCGCACGCATTGATTATTTCACTTAGGCACTATTACCCACACCTGATCACACGTAGACACCGCTAAGCATGTGTCACACCACTTGAGGTTGACGGGCATGCCTGCTAGCTTGCATGCAGCTAGGTTCAGTAAAGACAATCGTTCTTGGGTCTCATCGTGAAACGCACGTCACGTCCGATCGGCTGCGCGCAACAGTGCGCTCTATGAACGCGGATGGAGAATCTCCGGCTCACCAGTTTTGTGTTGTGCATCGAAGCCGCATAAGTGAGTGGGTGTGAGGTAAAGAAAGTACTTCCTCAGCCATCCATGCGTGTTGCTTGCTAGTCCGCACCGTAGAATACAGTTATTGAGTTCACATGTTGTTTTGATGTCCGCGCGTGTATCACGTGGTCTGCTGGATGAGCTCAAAGCCAAACGTGCACATGGACCTAACCGCTGCCTCAACCGATGCAGATGTTCTGTGAGCCCATGCACTGATTTGCAATAATCAAGACGATGGGTACGCATTTGTGCATTGCGACGCAGTGGATACATCTTTATATGCTTATGTGCTGCTGAATATTCTTACGAACATATTTTGCTAAATGTGTGTCTTGGTTCCGTTATGTATTCCGTTTACTCGGAATGTTATATTCAATTTAGGTAGCTGACTCTACGCTGTTGCCGATCAGAGATTATGCTTCGACAGGCATAGTCATAATGAAACATTGCAACTTTTTCAGCGCAGTGTGAACATGTCGATTGTTTCGTCACTAGTCCTAAGCAAAATCATTCAAACATTATGCGCACCGGAATATAAGCCGCACTGCCGGATGTTTAGGAAATATAAATATTTTAATTTCGTCTTGGAGTCCGAAAAATGCGATAGGTGTAAACGTTGCTCCACTCATTTATACCTAATTTCATCTACAAACCATGAGTGAGGTGCAATTGTGGGGAATGCCTGCTAGTTTTCCACCTAGTAATCTGGTGAACTAAATTGAATCGTCTTTCGTATTTATCGAAATATTTCATGCCACCGAGATTTGCTGTCGCAAGATCTCAGGAAACATTTTGCTGCTCAGAGACCAAGAAATATTTCGTTTAACTCCCCTACTAGTTCAAGATTTGAATCTCCTGAGGGTCTATAGTTTTGCCACTGACGCGCTTGCATTGTTGCCTCTATATTCCCAAACTAGCATCTTAGTTCTACTTGATTTATAGTATCAGAAATTAATCTGATATTCATTCAAACTTCAGCACCATTATCAAGACACGATAGCTGAGTGTGCGGAACACGCAGATGTACCGCAGTGCAAATCTAAAGTATTGAATGCTTCAGACTATAAAAGCTGAAATAAATATATGCTTATAATGCCATAGTGTGCGTCGGGTATGGGATCACCGTTGGACGGAAGGTTAAACTGGAGGGCGAAGACAAAGAAACTCACATCACAAACGCCAATAACGCCGGCTCTAGTGTATCCAAACAAACGTGTTCACCGTCCTTGGGACACTAGCCTGGCAGTCGGAAGACACCAACTAACGTTATACAGAAAGTAAGTGACTTCCTTCCATTTGATCATGGCATCGCTTGACCTCCCCACTTCTTCTTCCGTCGGCGCCCACTTCACACATTCAGGGAAAGACGCAGGAGTCGGCGTGCTGGCATGCGCAACACTTGGCCCAGCTATCAAAGCTTGGTGCGTGATATAACATGGCTGAGCGATTCACTCGCTCTTTCTGCACCGAATATACGACGCCGACAGGCTCATCTCTCAAGCTGTGTTACCACCAGAATTGAGTTAGCTGCGAAGACAGCATTATGTGTAGAATCATGTTTCCTTCATTAAACCTAGAAGGCTACTTATGAAAATGGCTTTTGAGGTTTACTTTCTTTATCAGATATCGGCATCACATTTTGGATAATAAAACCGGAAGAAGCGATTAGCTAGGTAGCGTTATAACTTTAGGCATCCGTAGTAAACATATGATAGACCGTGTCATGTTTGATCGTTTAATGCATTTAACGCTGCCAAGGAAAGCTCAGTACGATTGTCAGCTTCTTCGTAAGCACGGCAGTGGGCTGTCGCCAATGGTGTCATTGGAGTTTGAGTTTTCATTGCGTGATGCACGGAGACCGAGTTTGGGATCAGGGTCCAATAAATATCATGGGATTCTTGAGGTATCCAACAGTTCCACAGGTAAGTGTTTAGTTGCTGACTTGATGACGTACATACGACACTGAGCCTTGTAAGGTATTCAGCTGAATTACATTGTGTGTAGCTTTCCATTTCCAACGAAGTCTGATATAATTTTTGAGGTTTGCACAAGTTGGGAGAGATCCGTTGGGCTTCTTCACCAAAACGAATCGCGATGCCCAAAATACATTGCTCATGGCTTTCAGTCCTCCGTGTTTGGCATTGACAAGAGCTATGACTGTGAAAGGGACGGTCACTTTGGAAAGAAATGTCTTGGATATGAACTAGAGCACGGCCCGACTGTGTGTACAAAGGACAGAACACTGGTTGAACAATTTTGGATGTTGTCAGTTTGATCAATCGGTGCAAACAGATATTGCACTGTACTGTATGTTGCCCGTAGAGGCAGACCAGATAAAAACCCAAATTTTTCCGAGGCAATCAAACTCAAGCAGATAGAGTTCACCTATGTGATGAAGGAAACTCCGTCGAGTGTAGCAGCTCGAATGAGACAGAGCGATGTGGCTATCATGTTCAGCGAACGCCAACTTCAAAGACTGTTGCTTGACCGTGGTGTTAACTACATGGAGTTTTGCCAAGGGTAAGACAAATTTTTTCCTGAGCACCGTGGTATATTTTAACTGCAGTTGGAAGGAATGACCGTTAACCAAGACGAAAATGTACGTCATGCGTTCAGCAGCGCCGATACGTCCCGTAACCAGTAGGCTCATGTAGCTACCGAGGGTGTCAATGTGGGATTTTTCTGTATATGAACATCCTCCATAGATTATTAGACTAGATAGTATGTGCCACGATACAATGAGACAGTTTAATAGGATAGTCCGATCAGCTTGTGCAGTGGGCTCGCATAAACTAGACAATTGATCAAGTTGTTCAGTGCGACCGCCAAAGGAAATTTTAGAGCAGTCGATTAAGCAGATGTATTAGAAATGCTATACCGTTACATTACTCATAACTACGTTTATAGTTATACGTTTAGTTAAAGTGACAAACTCATTCAAACGACCATCTCTTGTGGACCTGCTTCCATGCAGAAGAGCTCCTCGAAAAGATAAGAATTCTGTTCAAGCTAGGTTCAGTAGATTGGTTTGAGGAATGCTGATAATTCTATGATTAGCAAGACTGCAGGAAATAATGCCGTTGTCGCACAATATGCGTCTTCTGAATTCCATAATGAAAGTTAGTAAAATGAAGCTTTTCTCTAGACAGTCACATCATTTCGAAGTTCCTCAACGGCACACTATAATGATTTCATATCAGTAATGACAATTCTTTTACCTGCCTTCCAAACCCACCTGAAAAATAGCATGTGATCTACTTGAATGTTCATTTGACGTCGTCTGTCCATTCGTTCGCAATTGGTAGCCATTACGAAGGAGCAAGAGTGCGGTTTGTACATCCTCGACTCGATATTCTCTGAGGCCCAGCAGTTGAACGGATCCAACTGAATCTTCCATCACCCTAAGTGGTCGCTTTTTATTAAGGAGATCATACACCTGGGAAGTAAAATGAAGTAGTCAAGGATAGTGTTGAGGGTCATTTTGTAGTACACGTTGTGTGGATGGATTGCGACGCGCAATCTCAAAGTTGACAGCAGCGTTTTCAGGCGGGCAGCACCCAAATTTCCATTTAGTCAAGGATAGCTTAGCTAGCCGGTTGACGTTAGTTGTGCGTCAAGGCCAACAGCAGCAAGAGTCATTCGCAAATGACAAACAGCCGAGCTCTCTATTGGGAAGTATACACACATGTCCCATGTATATAGCAAAAATGGGTAAGTTCAAAAAGCACAGCATAAGAATTAAGGAATATTTCCACTTTTTATTTTGCTAACTTCGTTCCCCTACGCTTATAGGAGTTAACCTTCACTTTTAAGCCTCACTGGTGTGTCGACCTCTAGTCGCGTATCACAATAATTCTGACCATACAGGGGGCTCCATTGATGCTGACTATTTATTAGGATACTGAAATTCGGTGTAATTATTTGTAATTAGTTTGAATCATCGCGTGTGTGCGCAGTGCTTTTGAGGCCATTGCATCAACCACAAGCTGAATAGGTTTGTATAATCTTGTTGCTGAAGACGCCATGTTCACCCGCATCATAATTCTTTAGATTAAGATGAGAAACACATTGGCTATTTTGCCGTAACCCGACTCGATCATCTGGTGTTGTAACGGGAAAAATACGACAAATCGGAAGGGAAAATAAACAGGACTATGTGTTTCATTCACTATGCTCACTATGCTCCATAGCTTTCAGGATTCACATCCCAGTGGCCCAAAGAACAAAATTCGCAGCACTTCATACACTAGCAAGACCCAGCCTGTGTGAACTAGTGGCGCTGAAGGTTTCACTAGCGCTTCTTGCACCATGACCAAAATGGTGAACACATTCAATGCTTCTTCAATGTGTCCACATTTAAAAGCTAACCAACGATACTACTGGTCGCTGAGTGTCGATAGCATCTCTAGATCTATTTATTTGATGTGCCAATTTGTTCAGCCTAACAGAAGAGATGAGTGGAAAACAGCTTTGTAGTCACTACTCTACTCTTCAGATTGAGCGTAAAATCTCACGGGCGAAAATGTGATGAAGACGGGCAGGAGTGTTAAGGTCTTTCTCTATACTCCTTGAGACTTCTCCAGCTTCTGATATGGCAGCCTAGATATGTAGGTTTTTAACAAATTTAAGGTACTGCGCGAGTAAGACATTGTCACGCTGCCCAAGTTTGGATGCAATGAATGGTGCACTCATACAATGCCGCTGTTTCAAGAGCCTGATCGTATGGCGGCGAGAGTTGGACTGTGGACTACAAGGATTCGTTTCAGGAATAAGTATCCACCTTTATTCCAAAAAGGAACACTGAGGGCTAAAATATTTATCTGGCCACTAACTGTTAGAAAAGCTAGCGTAATGGGATTTATAGTGGAATACGGAAACCCTACCCAGCCGAACAGACAACAGGCGTGTAGGTCGTGGCACTACGTTATAGTCTGCTCTCATTATTATGGGAAGCACAGTCACAACTCAATCATTAGCACAGCTATTTGTTTTCTCCTGAATAGATCATCATTCAGGAGCCAGAAGCTTATGGCTGTCCTTCGCATGATTCAGTGGGTAGACTGCATTGGTTCAAGCGTGAAATTTTGTTGGAAAGCATATAAACGAAAATACCACAATAGACATTGTGTGGAAACCCCAGCTCTAACGATCCAAATCATAATGTCCATAAAATGCATGGCGTAGAATGGTTCAGTTTGAGGTAGTTATGCTGGCGCTTCGAACCAAAACAGCAAAAAATAAATGAGCAAAGTACGCTTTAACGTGTTGAACGATGCTGCGAAATTTGCCAGAAAGGTTGGAGAATCAGTAATCGAGGCGAGCTGGCGCGTTGCAGGTTACCATGGCAACCTCGTTACCCAAAGGACGGTAGTGAAAATAAGCTAAACGATAAGTACATCCAACAGCTGGCCAGCCTGTTTACAAGGTTAAAGTGTGTATGTTATAATCATTCGAACGCAATTCAGAAACGGGTGCGTCAAGCAACAGTCAATACAACTTCAACTAGGTGCCCATGATTGTGACGGCAGAAGCAATGCGGAGAGAGTTCTTAGCAATCTAGTAAACGCTACAATTTTAACCAGACAACCATTAATATAATAAGATACAGGGACTATTATCCGAACGAAGATAAGATAAAGTCGGAACGCGAATTAATAACATAGAAAAAGCCGTCGAGAGGACCGGTGCAGAAAAATGGCAACCTTCGACTTCGGATGCCATTAGTTGGAATTATAAACGGGATATTATTTATAAAAACTGAAATAAATTGTGTTTTCTGTACCCTTACAAACAAGCATCTACAATTCATGGACGAGAGCAAAAATGGCTAAGGCAACGGAACACTGGTCGTAATGGTGAGAAATACCTAATTTAACTAGAGTGCAATACATCTTCAAGATGTTCACCAGTCACAGGGAAACTTCAACAATCGCCTACCTGAATTAAATGGGACTTTGGGTTAAATATGCAACTTACTTTGTTGCAGTAGATTTCAAAGTAGTTCACACTTATAGTGAAATCCGAATTGTGGCCACATTTTTCATATGTCAAGAATAATTCCTTCACTGTAAGGAAGTGAAACGTAAAAAGTAGGTTAGTACCAAATAGTACCAAATAGTAACTTATTCACGATGGTTGTTGCCGTCCCCCGTAGCTCAGCGGTCTCAAACACGGACTGGCAACAGTCGAGATGCGGGTTCGAGCCCTACCAGGGTTCCGATGAAATGTGCACTGCTGACGATTCCCGAAAGGATGAAAGGCGCGTACAGTGCTTTACCGGGCGTGTGATGGCTGTCTGAGTGAGTCTGGATGTGACGAATTTCTACCTATACCATTCAACTCCCCCTAATACTTCTCTGTTACCAAATAATTGTCGGACCAAAAAAAACGGTAGCGTAGAATCAGTGGAAACGGGTTACATTACCGCATTCCAGTGTAAACGCATGCAGCTTAACACGCGAAATATGGAACTTGCACAGCCAGTCCCAATACTGTGGTCACTCTACTCTGCTCATGCGTGACAATGAGTCGATCATTCGAGTGTGAGGTGGAGCTCACTAAATTGCCAACTGTCCAATAGTAAATTTTGATCTATCTCCAAATGTCACACCGCACATTGGTGTAGAACGACCGTATGCATGCACATGGGTACATTTGTACCTGCCAGTGTCGGCCATCGTGAAAACCCTGGATCATGTGCAGATGGTAGATTTGGAGTGGACCTACCGCACGCCACAAGGCAAGTTCACCCACCCATACATACGCTCTGTAGGACCGGTTTGAATGGAGACATGTGTGCAAAATGGGAAGAGCAGTGCCTCATAAACTTGCTACTGCGGTAGAATTGGGCTGGCGCTTCGACAGTCGTAATTGACCTGAGCAAGGAGTGTGCAATAGATGTTTAGCGTTATCCACGCCAGTGACAAATCGGTTTTTGGCAACGCTCTTGTAGACTGAAAATTAACTTCTAGCAACCTACCTAAGCAAAGTAGACTCTACTTACAATTATGCCTTACAAATATGAAATGTGACGTACTGAGAATGTAGTTTTGAATAGCAATGCCGCCTAAATACTACTCGCCGCAGCATAGCCTATTCTCCCATCGCAGTATTGATCGCCGTTGCAGGAAACAAGTGTGGTTACGCAGCCCAATATTTTTCAGGCGGGACCATGAGCGTGCATTCCAACAAATTCACTGCGGAGGCAATATTATATTATCAGAAAATTGGGAAGCTGCATTTCTAGACCATATCTAATCTAGGAATGCATGTTCAAAATGATCGCCCTCGTTTTGCTGGCAGAGCAGTATTCACCGGATGCTACTGGTTAGCACTCTCTGTAAAGTGTCCACCAAAATGCCGCGACATTCGTTGACGATGTTCCTTTTCAGTACCTTCAGACAAGTTAGCCTGGTTTTATACACTCGGTACTTCAAGTACACCCATAGGAAGAAATTCAGTTGGTTTAAATCAGGAGACCCTGCAGGTAAATCAATAGATCCTCCATCACCGATCCAGCGGTTACCGAAAGTTTCGTTGAGGTAATAATGTACCGTTTGTGCAGAATGAGCAGGTGCACCATCCCGCTGCCACCAAACGGTACTCAATAAGCCTTCAACCTACAGCTGCGGAATGACCCTAGACTGTAACATTTCTTTGGACGAGGATGCTAATAAATGTGAAGCATTAATGCTGTAACAAAAATCCAGTTACCTGTCACATGCTTGGAAAAGAAAAATGGTCCGATACCTTTTCGCCGTGTCAACCCAGCCGATGCCATGAGCTGTGCACCATGTTGCGCACGCGAAGCGTGTATTGCTGTGGGTAATTGGTAGCCCAAACATGCCGCTTATCTGCGCCATGCAGACGGAAAAGTGCCTCATCCGTAAACACGGTTGAGTGCACGTCCATGATATCCAGATACCATCGGGAAAATGCCATACGGTTCTCACAATCGCATGGCTTCAGTATTTGAAACTGCAGTGCACGATACCTACGGAATTTTCGTTCCTTCGATATACGTTGCTCAGAAGATCGTGTGAGGGCACACTGCTGAGCAATTCTCCTAAAGCTTACAGCACCATTTCGGGCTACCTCATCAATAACAGCGTAAGCGAGCATGTCATCCGTGGCCGTACGAGGCCTGCCGGTTCGCTTTGTGTCGCACACGCTCCCAGTTTGGTCCAATTTTTCAACTAGCCGACACACGTACCGCGCGTTAACTTACCTCATTGTGCAGTTGGTAGCGTTGTAGCGGCGAGCCGTTTGCAAAATTTTGATTGACACTCACCGAACAGTCACGTAAGGATCACGCCCTGGTCCACGGGCAGGATACGAGACTGCCGTTGAACAGGGTGGTCGTTCTGCTTGGCTAATGCAGCGAAATAACCGCGATGGCTGTGGGTAGCTTTAATAACCTTCGCCATATTCAGTGCTCCTACCACGACCAATCAGTTCGGAGAATGACTTCGTCAGTGACCTCACGAGCGGCGGTGCCATCTGTCCATCCAGCGTTGTCACGACGCACCACGCGCTTCGCGCTTTATACAGTACATGATTCCCAGTATCCTTATGGATTAGACATTGCGTAGAAATGCAGCTTCCCAATTTTCTGATAATATAATATTGCCTCCGCAGTGAATATGTTGGAATGCACCCTCATGGTCCCGCCTGAAAAATATTGGGCTGCGTAACCACACTTTTTTCCTGCAACGGCGATCAATACTGCGATGGGAGAATAGGCTATGCTGCGGCGAGTAGTATTTAGGCGGCATTGCTATTCAAAACTACATTCTCAGTACGTCACATTTCATATTTGTAAGGCATAATTGTAAGTAGAGTCTACTTTGCTTAGGTAGGTTGCTAGAAGTTACTTTCCAGTCTACAAGAGCGTTGCCAAAAACCGATTTGTCACTGGCGTGGATAACACTAAACATCTATTGCACACTCCTTGCTCAGGCCAGTTACGACTGTCGAAGCGCCAGCCCAATTCTACCGCAGTAGCAAGGTTATGAGGCACTGCTCTTCCCATTTGACACACATGTCTCTATCCAAACCGGTCCTACAGAGCGTATGTATCGGTGGGTGAACTTGCCTTGTGGCGTGCGGTAGGTCCACTCCAAATCCACCATCTGCACATGATCCAGGGTTTTCACGATGGCCGACACTGGCAGGTACAAATGTACCCATATGCATGCATACGGTCGTTCTACACCCATGTGCAGTGTGACATTTGGAGATAGATCAAAATTTACTATTGGACAGTTGGCAATTTAGTGAGCTCCACCTCACACTCGAATGATCAACTCATTGTCACGCATGAGCAGAGTAGAGTGACCAGAGTATTGACACAGGCTGTAGTACTATGAATCTAACAGGACAAAACATGCCGTTGAGAAATTTCCATATATTTGCGCACGGTTTTCTATTTATCGACAAGAGGATGGAACAGCCATTGTTTCAGCTGTTTCTGGAAAAGCTGTTTAAGATTCAAAAGTCTCTGCTTAGTCACCGACTGTCACACTGATTGGGCGTGTATATTACTATTACAAACTTTGGTGGGGACATCGCTTGTTACCCGATTCTGTGTGTCTTGTGATGGCATCACAGAGCAGTTATGATTATTGTGAACGCACACCGGCCCACTCACATTAATGGCACAGTTTCCCAAGTTGGTATGATCAAAAATAGAGGCTAATATCAAACCTGTTCTATTCCATGCTAGGCTAATGTATCTGCTTCCACTGGTTAATGCCGGATAATTTGCAAGAGGTAACGAAAAGGGAGTTGAAAAGTTACTTAGCATCGGCCAAACACAGAGAAGATGTAGGCAAGCAAAAGTACACTTATTGGATGACCACCGAGGGAAGTACACTGGCAGCACGATAAATTGACTTGATTGCAACTGGGTTTCCTAACGTCGGTTAAAATCACTACAACTGGCAGCAGGAATACAAATCCCATAGAGTGAGACAAATATAACTATCTTATCTTACTGGTACTCCTTGTTCACGATTTACATTCAGGCGATCAGACCCATAGCCTTTAACCTCTACATCAGTAATTTGTGCCAATGAGTCTTGGTAGACTGTAGCTGGGATGTACCTGAGTTATAAGTGCCACATGTAGTGTTGTACCGCTAATTATCACGCATGTTGCTACCATGCAATAAGTAGGTTCCGTCAATGCATGTTAAAATACCTTCAGTAAATCGCCAAGAATACAGTGGCTTTATTGGCTGCTTCGGAAATTAAGGTTTGTCACACAGCCAGTACGTAAATTGTTCACACGTTCATTGTCTGTGTTCTCCTAGTTATCTTGGCTATTTGACCCCGAGTCACATGCTGTTATTCTTTTGTCAGACTCCGTCGAATCGTAAATTTTCTTCCTTTTATTGGCCACAACTTTGCAGACGGAAACCATCGTAAAAGATTTTCAGTCGGTCAAAACTTACTGCGGTGCTGTCTGCTCACACCGAGCTGAAGCCAATGAACAATGACAGGTCGTTTGATTTTGACCGAATGTTGGGAGAAATGGCATGAAACTAAGTGGTTGTCTGGAGTAACAGTCGAATACACGGATAAAATTAGCTTTGTTTCGTCTCAGCTTGCCAACCTAGAAAGAAACTCGGAGACGAAGCAAAGTAGGAACCTACATAGCTGAAGGTATTCAAGGGCTACTACTACTGAGAGCTTCCAGGAAAATGGGGAGAATTGTTTGCATTTCCCACTCGTAATTTTGATGCAGTAGTCTATCGGACGAGGTGGTGAGGAGCTGTCAGGATTTAGCTGAATATCCCCAACAGCATCCGCGTGCATCCTGTCACATTTTACTTGCATGGTTTAGTGCTGTTTATATCGACTGCCGTACCTTGCAGGTCACATATCTGTGACTGCTGCAACCGCGATAATACAAGGTTTTACTTTATTATATAAGAGTTTAGTGCAATTGGCCAGACAGCAACAATCCAGTAAATAGCATATGCGCGTTTCTGACAGAAGGGTCCGCAAGTGACACTCGTGCTCTACGCCGATCAGGTGTAACTGTTGTCTTTTATTGCAATTTTAAAAAGCGAGAGCCGTTAACCTCTCTGCAGGCGCCGACTATGACACAGAGTTTGGATTTAGGCCATGGAAGTGCAGCATCAAGCACATTGAGCGTGGTAGCTTTCAAATCAGTACTTCGCCCATGGGTCCCGTTACGCTATGCGTTCAATGATCTGAGAATGTAACGAAGGCAACAAACGCGGAACATGCTGGCATTCTGATTGGTTACCCCATCATGAAAGCAAACCCAGACGACTTATACCACTGTTATTTCTACTACATATGTGCATCACATTACATGCATCAATTTTAACGTGTCACCTAAAGGTAACGAATGAAATGGTATTGTAGTAAAGCTAGAGGGCTAACAGGCCCAATATCCGCGACGGAATTGAATGGCACAAACCAACATTTAAATGACAAAACAGCTAGAACCTTTCTTTTGAATCGAAAGCTCTTGTATTTGATCCGCATAAACCTGAAAACAAAAGCTAACCAAAAACCATCAGAGCATTAGAACATCTCCGGTACAGGTACCACACATTATTGAATTAAAATTTTTAGAGCTCTAAGTAGGCGGAACATATTCGCTACACCCAAACACTCACCGACCATACCGTAAACACCATCTTCTACCATCGGCAATAGGTTGGGTCCCGACATTGGTCCGCCCATTGTGAAAGTCTTTCCTGACCCTGTTTGCCCATATGCAAAGCAGGTGGCCATATAGCCTTGAAAGATTGAGCTGATCATTGGAGCGGCTGTATGATGATAGACCTGGAGCAGCAGATAATAAGAACTTAGCGAATCACACCAAATAAAAGGAACTGATTACAGAGCATACTGAAAAACATTTAGGGAGACGAGGCACTACTTTTATCGAAGGAGTCTGTGTCGGTAGACTAGTCAAAAATTAAATAATTATCCTGTCCCGAAACCAGTGAAAAATAGCGAAACACAATGATTTTTAACTACAACAAGCGCGTACTAAAGAATAAAAGATAATAACTATCAGAAACAACCAAATGAGGACTTCCATTAGGTCAGAGTACAACGTCACTCTAAGTTGTAGGAGAGTATTGCTCTCTCCATTGTTGTGTATTCGGTTAAACGCTGTCATAACCGAGCCTGTAAATATCGCAACAATGAAAAGGAGTGGTTTACATAAAGCCAGTATTTCGAGTTTATACGAAAAGAATAGGTATGCTAGTAAAAATATTATCGAAAAACCTACTTTCGCTGGATGTAGCATATGTCATAAAATATAGGGCGTCCTTGTATAAATACCGTTGGGGATTTACACAACCCAACTGTGTAATGGATGTAAACAATAATCCAGTCAACTCTGGCTCTTAGTCATTGTGGATGATGACCGACCGATGTTTTTCTTTTATCTCTACTAGTTACCTCGAACTGCGATAAGTACTCGCTCGAAAGTGAGGAAGACAATTGATAAAATTGAAAATGCACCAGATTTGGTTAGGCCTTCGAATCGGCCGTTGCTGTTTTTCCCTGGTTTATCAATCCAAACACTATGTATTGTAGATCTATAAATAGCGTGTTCTTGTTAACGCGTTTTTCTTTATATGGACAAAGCTGAGGTCATGGATGTTACCCTACACTGTCTAGTTTTGAAAATCGCTCCGGAATACAACACAAAACGCGCCTTAAGTCAAATGGAGTCACAAAGTCGGAAACCTCATCAAACGAATATTTTAAACGCTTTGATGAAAAAAGCACACACCGTGCTAGCAAGTAAGTTAGACTCAGATGCTGCCCCACTAATAAAGCCCAAAAATCGCCGGTTCTCTCGAGTAATGTGCTCTCCATACCTAGCAGAATTGATAACCACAGTTCCACTATGCAACACATGGAATATGCCAAAGCAGGTATTAAAAATAATGTCACTAATTTTCTGCGGCTTGGAACATTTCCCGTGATCAAATCGAAAATTCCTCAAAATATTTGTCGTTCAACATAAAATTCCGCGCTTTCACTTCGAAAACAAAATGAACAGAAAATCAGACAAATTTATCCACCACATATACATAAGTTTTCATCCAAAACTGTGAAGTAAAAATAAAGCCTAACAACGTGCTACGTGCTAATCTCTAAAAGATTATGAAGCTTGTCAAACACAACATTTTAAAGGGCGCCATTGCTCAGTTCAAAGTCTACCGAGTTCACATGTATGCATATATAACGACCGACAATGTCTAATAGTTGTGGAATCTTTCGTGCATCCCGCACTAAAAGGCCGGCAAGCATTCATCTTTTCTCCATGTCGTTTTTCCACCCCACTTCGATGGTTTATCCATTCAGCTGCCATAGTTAGAGAGCCAGATAGGCCTGGAACCTAGGCTTAGCTGCACGGGTCACTTGAAAAGGCGATCAGGTGATGGAGATCTAGTAGTCTAGTGGCTTTCATAATCTGTCAGCTAGCCTGCCATGTCAGCAACTCCTAGGTTTTCTGGTAGCTTGAAGGAAGCAGTGGTACATCAGCTTGGATTTAGCTAGGCGCACCGAAAGTCGGTCCCACTGCCTGAAAATGCTGAAGCCAGTTTTCCTCAGCGGCAGTTTTCAGCGACATTGATATATAGGATATGTAGATGTAATTCGTATGGGTTACCGAAGACTGTGATTTGGCAGTTCTCAAGTGACGGATGACGTTCCTGCTGACGGTCGCAATGGAACTCAGCTGATATTTCAAAGCTTCCTGTGTTGTTTCGTTGATTACAATCTCCACAAGTTCACAAAACCCATCTGACACGACAAACTCCTGTTATACGGCACATCATAATCTGGTAATGCTAAAAATACTTGTTGTGATATGCGCCAACTTACAGCCAGGAGTTTCAGTGGGTGACGACCGGAGCAGTTGGGCAGGTTTGGTTATGCACGTCTGCTCAAATTAGATAATCGATGTAGACAGGTCCCTTTCTTCACAAAAGACAATAACACCAATAATTTTGCAACGAATCCGTCGAGTTAGGGAGAGAATTGGCAAAGGGTCTCTATAATCAAATTGATGCAATGGCAGCACATCTAATGTGAACTGCATCCTCACCAAAATGGCTTAATTACTCCTCGGTAGCATTTTTCAGCAATCTCGACCATGGAAAACGAAAGCCGTCACTGGCTGAAGTTGATGCCCATCATTCTCACGCTGCGTAGAACAGCTCATCCAGCTGTGGCAGAAATGACTCTCCCCATGTCCACCATGTCGATAAGGTATGCTAACAGTGGGTTCTTGTTGAAATTCAATGGTGCGGATTACAGGATATTCAGTTCTATTTTCTCGCGAACATCATTTGATTCGTCTGTTATGTCACTGACAAAAGTATCACGGACCATCTCATTCGATATCAGTTCATGTTTCCCTTTATAGTTGGTGAATTTTCAGAAGTAGTGCATTTGACCCGGCAGCGCTTCCACCCTTTTGTATGTATCTGCAAAGAAATGCCCTCAAAACGGGGTTGTTGATCCTCTCCATAAGAATATTGGCAGATGTCATAGCACGCAGAAAGTAGGATACCACCGTATCACGAGATTGCTGCGCAGCATCTGCAACGGCAATAGCACGAACAATATTTCCTTTTTAAGCTTTTTTCGGAGCTAGTCGCCCCTTGGCAACAAATGTAGCTTTTTACTATACATTGTCAACTTTCGTCAAATAATGCCTCTGGCTGCGAATATGGTCACTCACAGTGGAGTTTGGAGATTAATCCACAATCACTTAACACGAAGAAACAATAGTGAGCTCTTATCCGCATTATGGACGCAGGAAATTCTTTCACTACATCCAGGGCAGTTTTTCCTCCTAAACGTGGTATCTTTTTCTGAGTTAACATCTGAAAAAGTTAAATGCTGTTGTGACTGAGACTGTATTTAAAGTAATCAGACAATTTTCTGTACAACTATCGAATTATGAAAAATCAAATCAGTCAATTACGGATTGTCAACGGCAGAGTGTAGTCAAGTACTCGTATGCCTTTCTCGGTTGGTAGTTTTTATTGATGTCACTATTTTTAGGTATAGGATGTGTTTTTGCAGTGTATGTGTACCGTGTTACAAAAGCACAGGTTTCCCCATTAGTCGTCGATACAGGTTTTGAAGCACTTCAAAGAATCGGCCTCTATTGGCTTTTCTGGTAGTGTCTTCTGATAGTGTATACGATTCTTCCTTCTATACAAAGTTGAGGTGGTATCCTCTTCATGTATGGAACTCCGAGTTGGTAACGGTGTCCTCAAGCGTTGCAGAGTTCCCGCAGGTAAACTATTTGCCGCAGTATGAGTAAATGCTTCAAGTGTGGTTTGCGTAAATGAAGTTGATGTTGCAAGACCGCCCCTTCGTGAATTCTTGTTGCGCTGGCATCAATACTTTTATCGATTCGAGGCACGACAACAGACACATTTTTACAACCTTCTCGAGAACTTTGGAAAAGTTCGAAGTCATACAGATCGGTCTGTATTTCTCTAGTTTATTCGGATCACGACTCTTGGGTAGCAGTCCCACTGTTAAACATTTTCGATTGTTGTGGACAGTTCCTTCAGAGAGTGATTTATATGATAGGTTTATCACGGCCGGTGAGATGACATTGATAGGAACTTAAGTATTAGTGTGTGAAGTCCGCCTGGTCCGGGGGCGGCTCTGTACCATCGAGGTTACGGAGTAATTGACATACGTCGTCTGCGTCACACTGCAGGCTGTTGAGGAAGATTGGCGTAACCTGGGCCGGTACTAGAATAGCCGCTGTTTTACTGGAAAATAAAATGAGGAAGTGCGAAGCCAAGGCGCCCGCCTGCTCCACGCTTGAAATATTCGACCGTCCATCCAAGTCTTCTAAGACCGATAGGTCGCCCGCAGGTTTTAGTTGACGTTGCAACTAGGCAAATATTCTATTGGGGAGATTATGGCGAGGCTGCTAGCTTCACTTCGAAATGCCGGAGTTCCTTGATCTTTCTGACGTTACATATGTTACGCTGTTTCCTACACCCCATGTGCTCTTCATCCTAACCCGAGGTGGTGTCTGTTCCAAAATTTGCTACGCCGTCGCGATTACTGTCTATATTCCTCCTCAATACAATGCGGTTTGACAGGTTTAACTTTTGTATACATCAGGAGAACAAATAGAGTACACAGCGAGATAAGTTGCCGCTTCATTGATGACCAACTGCCTTCAAGCGACGCATCCAGTGCTAGTGTACAATCACTCTGAGGTGCGGTTTGGACGAGCCCATTGAAGTCCATCTTGCGATAGTTTAGTGTCGGCCTCAGTTGCTTGTAATACGGTAACGGTAGTTCTATTTTCGCCACAAAGGAGCAGTGGTCATTGTTCACTGGAGCTTCGAAAGCTCTGACCCCTTTCAGATTATGCTCACAGTTCGTTGACATTAAATCTAAACAAGATGTCGAGTACCGAGTTATGCGCGTCAGTTGGACGAGATGTTACGTTGCTCCGATTTCAATAGTCGTCTTAGTATAGTTAGCCTTAACGTCACCATATTCGTGAAGAAGCCGAATGTTTAGACACAATATCCCACGTAAATTAAGTTTCCCCAATATTAGAAATTGGTGACCGCTCAGGTGCTTCTGTACATGTGTACCCAATCGCAACAACCGTTTGCTGGGCTACTGTAGGTAATACCCACTGTTAGTTCTGTGCGTCTGAAGCGGATCGAGCATCACGGTTGCACACCTAGGATAGCCTCGCTCCGATAGGTGCTGATAAGTATGCCAGCTACTGAAGCTTTGAAGCACAACAGAACACCACTTTA